AAAAAAAAAAAAAAAAAAAAAAAAAAAAAAAAAAAAAAAAAAAAAAAAAAAGGAGAAAGAAAAAAAGATGCAGACGGGGGGACAAAACCCCTACAACGCAGCCCCTACGCCTGCCCGGCGAGAAGGAAGGGACAAGAATGAATGTCCCGCGGGGCGGCTTCGGTGGCCGCGGGCGGGCCAGCGGCGACGGGAGAGTGGCGCGCCAGCCGAAAGGCGGCGGGTCAGGTCCAGGATCCCGGCGGAGCAGCGGCGAGGCCGCCTCGTCAGCGCCGGCGTCCTCTGGACACGTCCAGTGTCCCCAGCCTGGCGATCAGGTAGCGAACAGCCCAACTCCGGAATGCTGCGGCTCCCGTCTGTTTCTGAGACGGCGAGTCGTAGTTTGTCCGACACCCGGGGGGACGCACACTCGCTGTTGCAATTGATTACGGGTAATTTCGCAGCCCCCACGTTTCGGTTACCTCATGAATACACTAAATTGTTTGGATAATATATCAGATCGTAATGGATGGTTTCTGTCCTTGTCCCCAATCAAGTAGGGGTTTAGCCAGTGAATAAACGGAAATGATTGGTCTTGCTTTCAGGAAACACACAATCAAAGACCCACACTTCCAGAAAAACTTTTGACAAGATTCATCCTGAATTGTTAGTACCATTAGCAGGCGTTATTAACTTTCCCTTTGCCTTTGACCCTCCTGCTCCCATACTGGCTAGCGGGGTTTTCTCCACTGTCGCCAGATAGAGATGAATGGGGTTGGGGGGGAGGGAGAGGAAAAAAAACCCTTACACACCCTGAGGCAGAGGAAAGCCGGGGGTGGGGGGTGGAGAGGCGGAGGAGAAAAAGTTTTCCCAAAAAGTATCTCCCCCTCGCTAAAAAAAAAAAAAAAAAAAAAAAGCAAGCTTTCTCCCCAAACAGCTCCTTCTTAGCACACCTCGACGCAGACAGCCATCTTAAACTGCCACCTCTCTTCATCTAGTTCCAGTCGGGTTTTTTCATGCCTGCACCTCCAGCAGCCCTGAGGCAGCCCATTCAAAGGGCAGCTTTGTGCTCGGAGTCCAGCAGGAGAGAGAGGGGGAAAGGGAGAGAGAGCCGAGAAAATCTCAACTGTGAGATCTGCTTCCAAAAAAAAAAAAGTTTTCCCCTAGCTATTTCATTGTCTCTGCTACAATATCTTTGAGAAAAGCAACAGCCAGTAATCCAATAAGAGCATTGATTAGGCTACAATGATTCAATTCAAGCGCATGGCCTTGTGCAAGGAGCATGCTCCGGCCCTTCTCGTCACCTTGCCGGGGCAGAAGCCCTCTCCACGCCGCTCTCCCCATTCATTCCTTTATGGGAAATGCGGAGCAAAAGGAGTGAAAGATGGCAATTATCTAATTGGACTATTAACAAACAGTCCTCTGAGTGCGGCGGTCTGGCGTGGCTCCTGGGCGGGGGAAGGGCCGTGTTCCCTGCCCTCATTCACAAAGAGTGCAGGGGCCGGGGAGGAAAGGGGGTTTTTTAAAGGGGGGAAGAGGAGAGGTGGGAGGTTTGGCTGAGAATTTTTCCACACAATTCCAAGAATAGGGCGAGGGGTGGG